CAACTGTGTGACAGGGATAACATGGTTAGAAAGTACTGCCATGTTCCCTTTGTGCAGCTGTCCTTAAGGATATCATAAAACTTAAAGCTACTGTAGGATGGAGTGACTGGACTAGCGTGAGGGGATAAAATGTAGAAATCTATACTGGTTTCAGAAGAACTGCACTGGCTGCCAAGAAGTTACTGATTCAAGACCAATGTCAAGTTATATAAAGCCCCAAATAGCTTTTGGCCTCAGTATTTAAGATAGTATGCCTTGCTGTGTAACTTGCCCAAGTCTTTAAGATCTGTCAGGTGGGTGAAATTTCTTCTGCATCCAACCTGGAGAACTGGGCATTATGTGGAGACACAAGAAAGCCTTTTGAGTTGTGATCCCCTCAACACCTGACACCAACATCATTTTTATTGCTCTGTCCCTAAGACCTGGCCAGCATAAAGTCAATCAGCATCAATTCAGGACCTGGTTATTTCCCTAGCTTTCAGTTATTCTGATTTACGATTGATATTTTTACAATGGATTTTTAAATAACTTTACACTGGATTACTGATAATTTTACAAGGGATTGCAGATTGCTCTTGCTTTGTGGTTTTATGTTGAATTGTTTTTAGTTCTTGTCTTCTGCCCTGTAATCTACAGAAAAAAGGACATGACATGAATATTCTAAGGCATAAATAAGGTAATACATTATTAAATTATTAAATAAAGTAACCACAGGTTGTGTTTTTAAAGTTAGGAAATACATAGAATTTTATTTCTATAACAAAGCAGTAAATATGTGGCAAAATAAGAGAAAACTTGCTTCATTACTTCTATTTAGGGTATTTAATCCAGCACTCTTTTTTCCCCATTGGAGCCGATCAGAAAACTCATAAAGAAGGAACTGAAGATTCCCCAGAAAATGTTGCTCACAGTCATGTTCTCCCAATCCTGGGAGTACTGTATAACTATGACAAATCATTGAAAGCCTTATCTCTGCTGAATTTATCTACTGTCCTTCTAAAGTTGATGGCCACCATCATTGCTTGTAGAAGCAAGCTAGGCACAGTTTTGTCTATGTGGCAAGGGCATTCCCTCTTAAATACAGTACTATTTCCCCAAAATTACCGTATTTTTCGCACCATAAGACGCACTTTTCCCCCCACAAAACAGGGGGGTGGAAAGTCTGTGCGTCTTATGGAGCGAAAAAAAACAGATCATATTTTCCTGTTTTCTTCTAAAAAATTGGTGTGTCTTATTGGAAAGGTGCGTCTTATGGAGCGAAAAATACGGTAATTTTTTCTCCCAAAAACACATTATGGCTTATTCTCAGGGGATGTTTTGTTTTAATGTACAACAATCTACATTTATTCAAATACAGTTATGCCATCTTCTTCTGGTTGCCGCACAATGGTGGAGGGTGGGGTTCCACTTAACTGGGGCTTATGTTTGGGGTACAGCTGTATTACGAGCATCCTGAAATAACATACTAGGGCTTATTTTTGGGTTAGGTCATATTTTCAGGAAAATAGGGTAGCCTCCCAAGGCTCTACCTCAGTGGATCTTAACCTTTGTTACTCAGATGCTTTTGAACTGCAACTCCCAGAAACCCCAGTCAGGACAGCTGGTGATGAAGGCTTCTGGGAGTTGCAGTTCAAAACTCCTGAGTAACCTAAGGTTAAGAACCAGTGCTCTTTCTTACATGTTAAATCAGAGAGGAGTATCATTTGGCTATGAAGATGGTGCTGTATTACAAATCCTCTTAACCCTAATCACTGGAATGCTGGTTTAGGCTAGTAGGAACTAGACTCAAACAACATCTAGAGGGTCACATGTTGGCCAGTCTGACATATAAGTAGATACTTTGAGACATCTCATCCTTCCGATGTAGTTGCATTTTGTTGTTTCAAGGAAATTGCCACACACCCAGAAATCTTGGGCTTTAATATTGCCTTTTATATCTTTGTTCTATTTTGAAACATCCCTTCTTACTTGCATTATTGTTGTTCTTGTTAACAGCAGTCATATCCTATCTTTCCTCTGTAAGCTTAATGTAGTGTACATAGAACTAACCCTTCCCTTCATGCTTATTATAATAAGGCTGGGGGAAAGATGATTGCATCACAGTCATCCAATGAGTTTCATGGCTGTGTGATGATTTTAATCAAGGTCTCCTGAATTTCAGTCCTTTGCTCTAGCTACTATTTATCACAGGGTCTTGTGTTCTCTCCCTCCCTCCACATGTGTATATTCTTGTAACACACGTACATAGTTTTTTAACACATTGGCCTGAGATGCCCCAAAATTTTAGAAAAATCTGTCTTCTTGTTTGTCCTCTTTCACATATAATCATATATTGATTTTTCTAATTTTAAGAATAAATGAACAATGAAAAAACTATATTTGTCACCTGGCGCATAGGCATTATTATACAACAACGTTTTGCTACTTTATTGCCCAGTGGAAGAAAAATGTTATGCTATAAAAATAAACTCATGTTGAAAGTGCTTCCAACACTGAAGAGATTTTAGACATAGTTAGATAGCCATCAATCAGATATACTTTATATTCCTGCACTGACCAAAGGGTTGGACTCAGTGACTTTATAGGCCCCTTCCAACTTCATTATTCTAGGATTCTATAAAAATGAGCAAAACCAGACTCTCAAGATACTTTTATCGGCTTCAAGGAGCCCTGAGAGATAAAAAATACTGTCAGAAGTAGCCATCAGTAACATCTGATTAATCATGAGATTTGGTTAGCCTGATAATTCAGTGAGTTAGATACGGTTGGGAAGCTATCAGAGAACATTATGTATAGATGAACCTGATCAGTCATCACACTCAGTATATACAGATGTAGGGCACCACTCCTAAATGGTCTGTATGTATCCCAGGGACCTTTCTTATTATTATTTAAGATATGTGTCCTTCTCTCCCTTCAGTGACCTCAAGGGATACGTCTGTACCTTGTCCCACTTAATTTTCTGTAAAGAGGTCATACAAAGAGAGCATATCTGGACCAAGACACCCAATAAGGTTTATAGCTGAGTGAAGACTAAATTCTGGGTCTCCCAGGGCAAAGCTCAACACCGGAAACCAGGCCCACCTTTGCTTAATTTTTAAAATCACACACGATCAGGTGCATTCAGGGTGGTATTTCTGCTCTTCACTGACGTTGGCGGCGTAACACTACTTTTAGCAAGGAAGCAACTGTATCACCGAAACCCTGGGCCAGGAGGCAAATTTTGTAAATGTCATTTCGTGTCATAAAATAATAATCACAACCCATGGGGAAAATGTTTCCCCAACAGGGAAAAATTATCGTTAGGGGAGAAAAACAGTTGTGCTCTATGTCCACTAGGTGGTGTATGAAAACTACTTAGTTCACTGGAGGAAGGTAAAATACAGCAGAAACAGGCCTGTGAGCTCTAAAGTACCTCTACTGGGAAATTATAGGCGGCCAAACACTAGGACGGACTGGGATGAACTTTCTACACCACTGAATTTATATCCACCTCTCAAGTCTTCATCCTGGAAGAGGCTCTATTTTTCAAAGACTAACTCTCTATTACAGGCACGAATATGTAGAGGAGCTTAAAGTACAGAGGTTTTACAAGATTCTAGGAATAAAATTAAAAACATCCACATTGCTGTTTTCCTAAGTCCAAGAAGGTAAAGAGGCACAAGGTTGGGGACCAGTGCTCTAAAGTACCCCTACTGGGAAATTATAGGCGGCCAAACACCAGGACGGACTGGGATGAACTTTCTACACCACTGAATTTATATCCACCTCTCAAGTCTTCATCCTGGAAGAGGCTCTATTTTTCAAAGACTAACTCTCTATTACAGGCACGAATATGTAGAGGAGCTTAAAGTACAGAGTTTTTACAAGATTCTAGGAATAAAATTAAAAACATCCACATTGCTGTTTTCCTATTGCTCAACTCCACCTGCATAACAGGAAGGTCGTCAGCAGCACCAGCAAACAGCTGCGGATTCAGGGGCTCCTTTGGTGATTTCAGGGTGCATGCAACTTGTGAACAACACAACAAAGCTAGATGTAACCTGAAAGTGCCAAAAGGAAGCCTTTACTCAGTAGCAATAGCTGACGAGGACATCATTCCTGTAGGGCACATGGAGCTGCACAACAGGATTTCAGCTTTTGTGTCACAGTATGGTCTAATGCGACTGGAGGCCAGTGTTTTACATATTTTTGTCTTGTTTGCTTATATTTATTCATGTATTTAACGTATATCCCACACAATCGTGTGATACACACTCTTTGGGTGATTCACAATCACCCTCAGTTCACCTTCTGATTTGATACCACTTCTGCTTGAGCATTCCATGAGGTTTAAAAGCCTAGACAGCAAAGGTAGTTTAACCCGGTGCAATGAAAATGGTCACCTGAAAAACATCACTTAAACTCTTCAGCCGCAACCCACTGGAACTTCCCTAAACCAGCACTACTGACACTTTAGGCTTTAACACCCAAACCTGGAACAGAAACACGCAAACATAATGAAAATGTACTAAAATTTAATCATTCATAAAAGCTGTAATTTAATCTGTGACAGTAAAACACAAGAAGCAATATTAGAGTTGGTTTAGTATATTATATATTTTAGCTTTCAAAGCCATAGAAATCAGTTATCCCAGTTTTTTCCTATAAAAGACCCATTTTTTTCCAAAGCATTATGCACAATTTTAATTAGAATATAATGGCAGAATGAAAATAATGATATTCCATAACTTTTTAAATATAAAATGAAGTCAATGACTTGGAGTTATTTGCTACAGTAAATTCAAAGGGTAAAGTCTGTATAATTATATCTATATCTTGATAGATATAAGGTACTAATGACTGACCATTTTTAGTGCTTGATGGGAGGAGAATTATGGTAAGAGGTCAATACGAAATTATAATAGCAATACCTAACATTTGAAATGCATCCATGCTCTTTTGTATAATCATACAACTAGAGTCAATTATATTTATTATCACATCTGTTAACTATTGCAGAGGAGAAGTACTATTGTCTTTAATTTTCAAGAGATATACACAGAGCAATTTTATTTTCAGGGTTCCCCCCCAGGGATCTTTGTGCAAACCATTATAAGATCTAAATTCTTCACATAATATATAAAAACAGAAGCCTCTTCAGATATGTTGCTAATTCATGGTGGAGTTATTTGAAGTTCTGGAATGCTGGCACTTTCCAAATTAGGCAACAGTTCTTCATTCCTTTAATCCTGGACAAAGAAGACAGAACGAAGAGTCAGCATCCAACTGAGAACAACTGTCATTAAGAGAAAAAAAAATACATTATCAAAACAGTACGTAGGACTGAAGGCACTTCCTCCAAAGGCCGTTAAGAAAGGAAGTCCAAACAAGACTGTGTAAGTCTGTCTCAGCATGTTGGCAAAATTAAAAGGCTGGGTTTGGGGAGGTAGAAAATACCGTGATGCTTTAAAGATTAAATGTGAGTTTCTGTGGATCAAATTCCACTTGATAGTGTAGGCATCCTTTAGTCTCGAGAGACTATGGTAATGTGCTCTGAATGGAGGCCTTGGAACAACATCTAGTGTGATCTGTCCCCTGTCCAGCTCCCTGATTTTGCTGCTTTTGGGACTGCCTCTTTGCCTCGGCCTGCTGGACAAGCATCTCTTTAAATTGGGAGAGGCCATGCTGCACCTCCTGTCTCCAGCCTGAACACTCAGCTGTCAAGGTTTCCCATCTGTTGAGATCCATTCCTAAGGCCTTCAGATCCCATTTGCAGATATCCTTGTATCGCAGCTGTGGTCTCCCTCTGGGGCGCTTTCCCTGCACTAATTCTCCGTACAGATCTTTTGGAATCCAACCATCTGCTATTCTCACAACATGCCCGAGCCAACGTAGAGGTCACTATTTCAGTAATGTATACATGCTAAAAATTTCAGCTTGTTATAGGACTACTCTATTTGGAACTTTGTCCTGCCAGGTGAAACCAAAAATGCGTCGGAGACAACGCATCTGGAACATGTTCAGCTTCCTCTCCTGCCATGCACAAAGGGTCCAGGACTCACTGCCATACAGGAGCGTACTCAGGACACAGGCTCTATAGACCTGGATCTTGGTATATGCCGTCAGCTTCTTGTTAAACCATACTCTCTTTGTGAGTCTAGAGAATTCTTGTGTAGAAATGATAACAGAGGGAGGTGAGTCCACGCTCTGGCCCATGACATGTGTTTTCTTCAGGCTGGTTGTTAATCCAAAGTCTTGGCAGGCCTTACTAAAATGATTCATAAGTTGTTTGAGCTATTCAGCAGAATGGGCAACAACAGCTGCATCATCAGCAAAGAAGAAGTCCTGCATGCATTTCATCTGGACTATGGTCTTCGCTCTCAATCTAGAGAGATTAAAGAGCTTTCCATCTGATGTAGCCTGCCTGTAGACACCTTATGTCACAGTTCCAAAGGCATGCTTCAGCATGACAGGAAAAAAAAATCCCGAACAGGGTTGGCACGAGGACACAGCCCTGTTTCACTCTGCTTCAGATGTCAAAGGGATCTGATGTTGAGCCATTAAAAACTACAGTGCCGTTCATTTCCTCATGAAAGGACCTGATGTTGTTAAAGAGTCCACTTCACAGTATTCATATTTGTTTTTGAAGAAGTGGATTTTGATCCATAAAAGCTTGCACAGAAAAATATCAGTTAATCTCTAAAGTGCCACAACATTTTTCTCTTTCTTTTTTTCCCTTTTAATTTTACACAGTTTAAGAACGATGCATATGTCACATGATTGCAAAAGTGTTGCTAACTGAGTCCAAGTACAAGAACTCTCTCTCTCCCTTCCCCACTCTCTTTTAAGTAATGCTGGTGTTGCCTTATAATATCCTGTAGGCTTTAGGACTTGAACTACCTATTCCTATGCAACCTGTTTTCAGCATATTTCTGCCTTCAACAATTGAGCAAATTCTGTGATAGTGAGTGCTCCAACACTATCAACATTACTACTAAAGAGAAGTGTCTGCTACCAACTTGGTTGAATTTTATGCACCGCCTGTAATGGTTTCAATTTCTCAGGCTCTTTACTAAACTGTGGGTTGCGATTCTGAGAAGTATGAGCAGAAGGAGGTGGTGGGATGAGACTTTACTGGCTCCTCCTCCTCACTAGAATCCCCAGCATTCTCCCAGAAAAAGCCCCCAATGCTACGAGACACTATGAAATGTCATGGTACGTAGCACAGGAGATTGCTAGGGGAGGAAGAGAGGGGCCAAAATGAGAAGGGATCGCTTGTGATTCACACAGTAGGAAACCCCCTTTCTGCAAGCTTTTTTCCACTCATGTTTCAAACTGAACTCACTCCTGATGGCTTTTAATGTTGTAACTGTGCTTTTTGTAATGCTATTTGTCTCTATGATATTACTATTATTATTCTGAATTATTGCTTTTTATTAGCCACAGGTTTTCTGGAACTGAAAATCAGTATTTTGAAATAACAAAATAAAATAAATACCACCTTCATTTTAGGTCAACTATAAGATTCTTAACCAGGCAAGATTAAGCAAAACACAAAACAAACAAAAAAAGGTGGGGATTAAAAAAGAAGTTGTAGGGTATGATGAGCAAGTTATAGTTTTTAACAGTCTTATAGTGCAAATTTAATTAGATTTAGGTCATGTTTAATACAAAAGATTTGAGGCTACACTAAAGTATTAGGGACAGAGAAGCATAGCTGCCACACACTGACTCTGGGTTTTATTTCCAATGGAAAATATGAGTACCATTCTCCCCCCCCCTTTTTTTTTGCATGATCTAAAGATCTAAATTGATGACAGTATCCCACCATCTGTACTCAAAGATGTGTATCTATATTTTTAAAAGGCAGAACAAAACATAATAGCACACTAATGCTTGGAAAGCTGAGTTGTCTGTTCTGCTCCTTCCTGCACATTAAGAATCAATAACAAGTCAGTTAACAATTCAATGTCAAAATCAGCAGGTAGCAGTTTAACTTCAATAGGAAATATGTCAGCCTGTGTATGCACACTGATAATGTACTGACTACTCAAGTCCAAACTCACTGCTTATGGTAGTGAAGAGCAAGTCTGTTTCAAAGGCTTCTTAATACTCCCTATGAACAAATGTGCCTTTCAAGAGATAGCACTGTCATCGAGCTTGGGAGGAAGAGTGAAGTTCAACAGCAGAGCACAGACTCTCACTCTGTCACTGTTACACCTAATGAAAAGCATCTTAAAGATAGAAGAACATCCACCCAAGACTATGGGCATCCACTTGCAGGTCATATAAGGCAATAAAAGAATGGACATACATCTAACTTGGAGCAAAACAGAGTGACAGGCCCCAAATTCATTTTTTTTAGAAGTGTCAACCTTTGCATTGAGAAATACCCCCACTTTATTCTCTGGCATTTCAAATGAGGGCTGGGGAAATCTTCTGTGAAATCCTGGAGAACCACACAACATTTGTTTAAGAAATGCTGAGCTATATGGATGAATGGTTTGCCTCAGTATAAGGCAGATTTATGTGTCCTCACAGAGACTCTTCTCTGCACTGAAGACCTCTAGGGAACAAGAACATAAAGTTTTGCACACATTAGCCTTTGAGCATTAAGATCTACTGCCTGACACAGGACGGCAGACTAGGTTCACAAGAAGAAGAAAGCTTTGTTGCAAATTCTTTTGTTTTTTAAATGAAAAGTCACGAACGAATGGAACTCTCAGCAAAGCAAGTATAGTTATTGTAGTCAGAAGAAACTGTAGCTACGTTAGTTTTGTCTACCTTCTCCAAATGAAGGAGTACATGGCAAAAGAAAAAGGTATGTGGAACAGGGAGTTAGAATGACAGGGTTGGGTGGGTAGAGGACTTGCATCATGGTTATAGCATGAGATCTATTTCTGTCCAGGCCTCAAAAACGTGAGAAAACATGAGAAAGAGAATTTATAGGAATCACTGATGCAGAGGAAATACTTGGCCAAATTAGAGAAAACAGTTATTTATAGCATGTGCCCAAACCTTGGCAGTGTCTGGCTATTTCTTGTTGCTTCGGCAAAGCAACCAACCCCCAGTTTGCAGTAGCCTTTCCTCATATTGTAGCTTTAGGGAATAGCGTCAGAAACAATGTATGGTAGGAAGACCCAAAGATTTTACCTGTGAGTACAATTCTGGAAAAGGAGACCTGGAATCACTCACCTGGCTCAGAGCTGCTGCTTATTGTGGGTCTAGAGCAGCAGGCATGATTTCTTTTTAGGCTTCTTCTTTTCCACTGGTGTTTTTCTATTTATCTGTCTGACGAGATCATAAAAGATCTGTGAAAGAAAGAGAGAAAAGTATTGGGGTTGGGGGCTAAAGGAACAGATCTTACAGAATGGCAGGTTCTTTTTACAACCCTGTCCTACACACCCACTTTAATGTGAAAGCTACATCAAGGGAGAAGGTGAGAAACAAATAAAATGGGAGGGCAGAATGGGAAAGAGAAGAGAGGAAGTTTCTTCAGCACCTCCTCAACTTTAGGAAATGAGTGGGAGGCACTATGACCTCTTGCTACAACACAGAAATAGTGCAATTTATGGATGGTTTTTAAGTTTTCCATTTCCCTATTGGGGCATCCCCAACTAGATTCCCTCTGTCCTGTCTTTCCTCTGTGTGGATTGCAAGATAAGACATGAAAGTTTCTTTAAAAACCTACACTGTCCCCGATGAAAATCATCTCCCATATACTGGTTAAAGCACATCTTGTCGAGCAGTAGAAATGGAACATTCACAGAAGTTATTAGGATAGATCTGCTTATCAGCTATATAACTGCAGTATCAAGCTGCTGGCATATCAAGTAAAGGCATTCTATTTGCAATCCTTTCTCATTCTGTTACACTTTTCAGAGGTAATACAATAACTTGAAAGCAATTTGCTACAGTAATAATTCCAAGCCTCTATTCCTAAACTACTCTGTGGCTATTATGGTTACTTAAAAGAAAATCTCTCCTTTTGCATTTGTTTGCATAACTACAGGTACTTCTAATTACTGTCAAAGCCACGGAACAAACAATTGGCCTTGGTAGAAATCATGCTTATCTCTCATCCACGCAAGTGTCACACCATACCCACAACAGAGCAGGAGGAACATCATAACGTCAGTTGAATCATGAGATATTTCCCCTCCACTATTTAATAAGGCCACATGCTCATAACAAAAAAAGATAACAGAATGTTTGGAAGGTATCACTTAGCAGACTAAAGAGAAGGAAAACATTAGAGACAATCCTAATGTAACATAGTTATGCCTTACTTATTGGAAAGATGAGGAAATTACAAGTAACAATGAACTAAGGTCAGTGTAGAGCTACCACTTCTGGATCCTTGCAGAACACATACAGAGTACTTATTTTCTGAGAAAGGTTGGAAGATATCAGGATGACAATCGTGTCAATAAGAAAGGCCAAAGGGTTTCCCTTCTTATGTCTCATTTCCTGACTTCCTACATTCTATATGCAGGCTGCCACAGAAACAGAGCAGTTGCCTTATATAGTTATCGGTGCTGCTGGGACCTGGATGGATAGAGGTACCTTCCATTCCCAAGGACTATTCTCAACCTGGCTCCTCTGCAATGTAGCATCCCATCAGACACTAGAAATATATGCACATTTGCCTCAGTTGAATCTAGCACTGCAGTAATGCAACAGCAGTAGAAAACCTCCCTTAATGCACTTTACGCCCCCTCCCCCACAAATCCTGCACGATCCACACATTCTAACAGGCTTCAAGACTACAGTACTTCATCTGTGAACTGCAAAACTAGAAATTGGATACCGATTTGATATTATCTTTTTTTAAAAGAGAGAGAGACTGAAGCTTAGAAAAGCACTTTCTAAAAGCATGATAAAGCCTGCATCTCTTTCATTTGAAGCAATAAGATTCTATAACAGCATTTAGGTTTTCTTATACTCCCTCCCTGCTGGGTTTACAGTTACGTGGTTTTATGCTGTCAGTTCAAGGCAAAACACATCAAGCTCATACTCCTGTAAGGCCAGCCTGGCTTCTTGATAGATGCCCAACTGAGCTTAGAGGTTGAAGACTGCACTGCAAAGTACCAAGAAAAGGTTTAGGGAGGACTCCACAGGGGACATGGGCACAAGAAAATGGCATTTATCAAGGTTTTTTACCCCCCCAGAAGACAACCCAAAGTCTTAAGCCCTTATTACTAGTCAATCATTCAAAGTGGTTCTCAGGGCACCTTAAAGGCTTAACTGTTAAATCCATATGTATGTCTCTGAATTGCTTTACGATTCTTCTGCTGGCCCCACAAAGCTGCAAAAAGTGTAGCATTAGAAGGCAACTGCTTTACATATTATCAGGTAACAGAAGCTCTATTTTGGTCTGCTGAAGTCCTAATGATACAAATGCACAGAGTGAGTCGGCTGGCAGTGATGCACCTACTCTGCCCAAACCAACTGAATACTATAGGGAGAATTGTGGGATTAGTTTGGGTCATGCAATCTACATGCCTGGATTCTTACTCCAGGGGTGCAGAGGAGAGAAAAGGAAAAGTTAAGCCAGGTCATTTTCTATTAGAAATGTCATTATTTTCCTACACAATACTGGTATTTCTAATTAAAATATCAACCCGTGAATACTCCAGCTGTTGTTTGTTCCCACTCCTCTCCTTAGCAAGTCTGCTGCCAAGAGAAGGGGAAGGATACGTTTGTGCATCAAAATATAGATGTATTTTTAAGAGCATTAACATTTCAAAGAAAGCCACCATGCACTGCTATAAGTGGGGACAGAGAGAGAGAGAGAAAGAAGTTCAAATCTGAAATACTTCAGAGCTAAATTGTTCAGACATGGTGTGATAAGAAGCTGTATTATTAATAGCCTTGTATGAATGCAAATAAATGCAATCTTCTCTATGTCTACTCAGAGGTCAGTCCCACTGAATTCAGGTGAATGAATGGGTACAGAATTACAGACAACCTCATATTTTTGAATGGCAATACTATATACAAATATTAGAGGGCTAAATTCAGTGTTATGCAAATAGTTGCACTATTTCAATACAAAATGTACTTCTGTTCCCTTTCACATCCTACCTACTGCACACAACCCAAGTGTGCACCCGTGTGTTCAGCACCCCTCTGGAGCAGGTCTGGGGAAATTCAAATTGTCAGCAACACCCATTTGGCTAGAGAAAATAACACCATTAGGTACAAGCCTCTGACTTCCTTCCAGTCTTTGACACCTTCTGATCTTGAGTCTAAGACCAGAGGTATCAAAGACTTTAAGCACTGTTGACTTTTTCAGTGATTCTACAGGCACAAATGCCTGGTTTAGCAGTATATCAACAAAATGTTATTATCTTTAATAGTTCTGTTTTGTTAAAAACAAAGCAAATGTGACAGTTGACCTCCCTCCAAAAAAGGAAAAGGAAAAGGAAAAAGGTAAATAATCTCAAAATAATAAAACAACATTTAGTAGCTGTAAAATCACAGACTTGACTGAGTCATAACAATATCAAAAATCAATCCAGCAACTCACTCAGTTCCGAAAACAAAGAACAAAAATAAACAGATAAGTGAGAAAAGAGGGGCTTAAGTGTGGACCTATATTTTCAAAATATAAGTTATAGGAACCAAAGATGTGCTGAATACTGGAAACATGTCACCAAACTGAGGATGGTTATAAAATTAAATGAAGGCGCCTCATCATCCCCTTCTTTCAGAGCACATGAATACAAATGTGAATACATTTGTCTGTCCTAAACTTTAAATGGCATTTAACAAATATTGAATGGCACCATGGGAATTGACCCCTCCCTGCACATGTGTGCATGTGTGTGTGTGACTTCACTTAATAAAACTGGCAAGGGTCAAGTTGTCCCTCACCACATGCAGTGAGCCTAATCTTTAATGAAGGTCACTCATCATATAAAAATAAACTCTCTCAGAATAACATGCATTGCCTGAATTCCTGTTGTGTAGTGTAATAAATCACTACTAGAGTAGGCCCACTAAATCATTGGAACTTACTGAGGAGTCGACTCACCAAATTTCCACTGATCAATGGACCTATTCAAGTTGTAACTCAGTACACTAAACAACAGGATTTCAACTGTAAATCTATTGTCTGGTTTGATCTTTCAATTCCAGTAGTCCTAACATTACAACTACTGTACAAAAGAAATTATGTTCTGTTTAAAACAAGAGTCTAGTGGCTCTTTAAAAATTATAAAATGTACCATAAGTGCACAGGCAATCCACATCTCATTCAGAATTTTATTATTCATTTTAACACACACACACACAACACA